TTAATTAATTAATGAGTTCCATTCAAGCTAACCAACCAAACTTTAACTTTTCAATTACTCATGGCTAACTTTTTATTTATTTATGGTTTTTTTAATCTTTGTTACACAATGAGAAATAATCATCTCTCATCCTTTAATCCACTTCATTTGCATGTTATATAATTCGAACTAAAAATTTTTTACTTTAAATAAAAAAGATTACCACAGAATTACTTAAATTATTGATAATAACATAATCCAAATTAAAAAGGAATGGAGCCAATTATTTAAGTAGTTTAATTGTTATTTTTTCTTTAAATGAAGTAAAATATCTTAGTTTCGAACTATAGGTATGTAGATAGATAAATAAGCAGATGAAAGAAATATTTAACATGTATTGTGCAACTCAATATAAAAAAAAATAAAATGGAGCTATGTTAAAGGTAGTAAATTAACATAGCAATTCACTTTGTTAAATTTTATGGAAGTGGCTAAAAAAATAAAAATTCCTAAAGTTAGGAGTCTTATATAAACAAGAAATAATTTTGTTTTATATGTATAAATCTATGATAAGTATCCTATAGATAAAAGAAAATAAAAATTATTTAACAAATCACAATCTCTAAATATTTTCATAAAGGACTTATAAACTATATCTACAATACATAGTAATAAGCGATAAATGCTCATAAACAAATGCAAACAATTAACAGAAGTCATTTAAAACTAGGAGATTGTCAAGACATTCGCCTAGGCAGAACAACAGGGCTACGAAGTATCGAAACTACCACTACAAGCTGCTGAGCTACATGGAAATCAACCTGTCATGCCAGGTTCAGAGTCAGGGACAGATTCGCAATAAGTAACAATCAAATTGCACCGTGTTAGATTTATAGAATGCCTAAATTTTAAAACGACATAATTTCAAGTTACATTTTATATTATTTTAATTTTAAAATAATTTTATTTATATTTAAGATGTGTAAATTTTAAAATGATATTGTTTTAAAATTTATAAAACTCTTAACTTTTAAAACTTAGTATTAATATGCACCCAAATATTTTATTTTATAAAATAAAAATTATTATATAAAATATCAATTATAATATTTAAAACTCTGTCACCTCTAATAATCTTAATTGCACACTTTTTTGTATGCACTTCAGTCACTCTTTGATATTCCCCCTTTTTATATTATTTCTTTATTTCCTCTCTGGAGCAGCCAAGAACAGCATTTCCCGAGTCAAAAGAGATACAGTACCATCAAACTAGGGTATCTCGGGTGGTGCATGGTTACCCACAAAAATTTAATAATACATGTTAAAGTGTGCATTTTTTTATTTAAACTCGAAACAAACTCCATATTTATATCTACTTTCTTTAATATTAAACCCACATCACCTTACATAATTAAAAAAGCACAAGAACAAAAAATCAAAAAGCAAAGAAGAAAACGATAAGTGAAAACACTTTATCAAGCATCTGTTCTTCCTCAAGAATCTCATACAGAGAAATGGAAGCTCAATCACAGTTGCACCAGTCTCTAATGTAAACCTCAAACTTTACCTTTATATATATATATATATATATATCCACTCAAAATACCCAAAAGAACCTTGATGATATTCCTTTCTAACATGATCATATATCAAATTCTAGCTATAGAGTCTCGGTGTAGTTCATCTGCCTTTAACGAACTACTTGTCCTCATCAACTGCACATGCAAGTGCATTGTTTGTTTGCCCCAGCAAGCTGCTTATGGATCGAGCTTTAACCATGCCAAGCTTCATCTTCTTCTTCATCGTCGTCGTCATCAAAGGCTTCTTGTCATCCATATCTGTGTTCCCAGTCTGATCGCCATCACCATCTATCACAACAACATTTTTATCCTGCAAGGATGAAGAACTAGACAATGGCTCGTGGTCCAAGTTGTCCTTCTCGGGTGCAGTAGTACCAGTACTAGCCAAGGACCGAC